ACAGAAAATACAGAGAAAATACATGAATAGGTCATAAACAGAACATACATGGACACGAATAGGTCATAAACGGAAAATACAGAGACAATACATACATATGGCATATATCATACATAGAAAATGATAGATCATGTTGAGAAGTTACATAGACAATTAACAGATCATACGGAGAAATACAAAGACAATGCACATGTCATACTTAGATAATACATTTATATAACGCATAGATCATGCATATAAAATACATATACTGAACCGCATAAAAAACGCACGTTTTTCTAAATTAAGAAATATTCGACAAAACATTGTTAAATATTATAGTGTAACTACACACTGGTTACCGTTGTTGTAAAAAAACAGTTTGTTAATGTTCAGGTTCTGTTTGGTGATTTCTCTTGGATATTGCACATCGCCAAAACGCAGCAATTGAATTGGCCGTGGGATGTGGTTGCAGAAGTTTGTCATGAAAATCATGATGCGCATTATGTCACGGACATATCGGGGTATGAAAATGCCCTCAAATCAGTTTGAAATCACTCCCGACAAACGCCCACCAAGAATGCCAAGGTTAACGACGCAAGAGAGGGAACAAGCCATCGGCCGTCTTGAAGCTGGACAGAGTGTTGCAGATGTTGCCAATGCATTCGATGTGCACATAACGACCATCTGCCGTCTTCAGGAACGTTTTGCTGCTACACAGACCACTGCTGACCGCCAACGTCCTGGACGTCCGAGAGTCACACCACAACGGCAAGATCGACACATTCAACGTTCGCACATGGAGGATCGATTCTTATCTGCCAACGAGACTGCCCGACAGACTATTGGACGTCACAACCGAGCAATAAGCGGAGATACAGTTCGGCGAAGACTCAGAGCAGTCCACCTCCGTTGTCGTAGTCCAGCTCGACGTGCTATCGTCACACCGAGACATCGGCAAAATCGTCTGCAGTGGGCTAAGTTGCATCGAAACTGGCGTCAACAACAGTGGAGATTGGTATTGTTCTCTGATGAAAGTCGGTTTTGCATTTCTCATGCTGACGGCCGAGTTCGAATATGGCGAAGACGAGGTGAACGCTTTGCTGACGAATGTGTAATGGAAGTTGATGCATGGGGAGGTCCAAGCGTTATGGTATGGGCAGCGATGGCCTGAATCAGAGATTAGGGCCATTATTCTTTCAGAATATTGGGCCAGGTCGGGGAATTGGAGTCACTGCCCAACATTATATCGACCAGATCCTCCGACCCCAGGTTGTGCCATTTTTCGTCCAACACCAGCAACACATTTTCCAGCAAGATAATGCCAGGCCCCACACTGCTAGAGTCACTCAGGCATTTTTCCAGCAGCACTACATCCGACTACTGCCATGGCCTGCTGTCACTCCGGATTTAAACCCGATCGAACACTTTGGGACGAGCTGCAGAGACGACTGAATGAAGTCCGACCACGTCCGACAACTGCAGCAGAACTCCAGGCAGCCATCATCCGGACATGTGCGGCAATGCCTAGGGCCTTTGTCAACCCTCTGATTCACTCCATGTTCAGGCGGTGCACAGCTGTAGTGAATGCACGAGGTGGACATACGCGCTACTGACTTGTTGGATCAATTTCGATTTTGTCTTCAATGCAAAGTAAACCAACAATGTTCCATGCATTGACTGACATGTCCCAATCATCATGCAATAAGTGTTGATTGTTATTATGTACCTGTGTTCATGCATTATCTGTCAAAAGTAAAGTTTTTCTAAATCTGGATTTTGACTTGCGTTTCTTTTCCGGTTCAGTGTATATAAAACGCATAGATCATACAGAGAAATCACATAGATAACACACGGTTGGTACATTGTTCTATTCACGCCCCCTGTCACGGTAAGGAATTCTCTCCTGTACAAAACGTGTTCACGGAGGGATGTGTACAAGATGTCACTGATCTTGGGATTTCCGCAAAACTATATCACATATCCAGTAAAGCCCAATTTGTTGACGTCCTGCTAATATCTAATTACATTTGGAAGTTCTTGCTGTGATTTACCTTTGGAAACCCGGGCATTCTTTCTCAGTTTAATCATTTGATATAAACGTCTGACTTAGGTGTCGTATCATGTGTCATCATACTGGCATCATATCGGCATCCTTACCGCAATCCAACATATTACACTACGTCTACATTGCTACAATATACATTTTGTGTAACCATGTCTGTTATGACCATATTTTCCATGATGCAAACATAAACCTGTCTCTGAAATCAAGATTAGCTTTAAAAAAATATCAATAGAGAGAACCAACACCTAAATACTCCAAACATTCCAGGTAAAACACACAGTTACTCCCAACAGAAAGTTGGGCGGGGATCAGTTCTGATTTTGACACTTCCGTGAAAGGTCTTAAAATCGTTCTTTTTCAGTCTGTTGTACAAACTAAGCTCTCTAATCTTGCTTCAATTTCGTATTTTTGATCGGAGATTAACTGCCCCATTTCTGATGTCCCATCCGCCGTGATATTGCTGGAATGTTGCTCAAAACGGGGGTACAGCTAAACTCACTCACTCACGTACACCTTTTGAAAGGTGTAAGCCTCCGTTCTGGTTCCTGTCTATATTTGAGCAAACGTGTGACATGTAGAGACGATCCAAGTTAAAACGTTATATGCTGGTGAATCGTCACTGCTATGTTTTCTTTCTTTTTTTTTTCTTTTTTCTTTTGCGGTTCTTAGTACAGAACAGAAACATGTGTTAGGTCCTCAATTGAAACACGATTTCAAATGTGAATGCATTTAAATATAGCCCAATTGTACACGTTATTACAACACATGCTTGCCCTGTCATGCTGACAGCACTCTGGCTGTTTTCAGCTGTTCACCCGCTCGTGAAGTATGAATACACATTCTTATAAACATAGCCCAAACTTGGCGGCAACAGCAGCCATAGGTGTGTTTTATGACTGCATAATATCTTTCCTCGGGAATGCATTGACGTTTACTTGGCCCACAGTCAAAGCTGTATTTGACACAGGGTTCTTGGGAAGAACATTTGCATAGGCCCATTTACATGTAGAACATTACCACAGTTCAGGCTGGGGTTATATACTTACACTGTTCTAGTACAGAACTAACGTCGTACACTGGAGTAGATACTCCCTGTACCACCAAAGTAGATTCAGGTGGTATATCTTCGTAAGCAGTGAAATCGTCTTGGCATTTGGCGTGCAAGGGAACATTTTCCAGAAGCATTACTTGTGTTAGTGTACTGCTAGTTATAAATGTCCTTGCCATTACTTATCTTCACCACCACCACTACCATCATCACCACCACTGCTGCTACTACTACGACGACGAATACTACTACTTCCACCAATACTACTACTAACACCACCACCTACATCATCGACACCAACACCTTCTCCTAATGCGACTATTACTACAACAGCAGTTTGTTTTGTTGTTTGTGCTGCATATTGTAAAGGTTGGTTTCAGGTCAATCGATCTTGTCCATCTTAGTATACTGCTAATGGGATCGATCGTCACCATTATTGGTGTGCTGGTACATGTTATTACATGCTGTCAAACATTGACCATAATTCCACAGCACGCTGACATCGTCCAGTTTTGCACTTAATGGTGCAGGCGCCGTATCCCTTGAACCAGTGAAATACAGTAAATCACAACATTGACAGCAGTTCCACAGACTGATCAACCATCCTTGAACGTTTCAAAGTCAGGAATAGTGTTCTTCGCACGCGACTGACGCTCGTACGAACTACGCGTGCAAACTATATGTCTCTTGGCGTGGTTTAGTGGTACGTTTCACAGATATTAACGTTCTTGCGTTGCATTGGCTGGTGTCTTCAACACTTCTCTTTGTTTTATCTTTGGTATTGATATTCATAGTTCACGATCCCCAACATGTTTGAGAGAGTGAGTGAGTGAGTTTGGTTTTACGCTGTTTTAGCAAAAATTCAGCAATATCACTGCGCCTTGGGCGTGACGAGCGAACGCCTTAACCACTGGGTTACCCGACTTCCCCTGATTCAGAGTGTATACGGAGGATCTATTCTAAAAACGGATAAACTCAGTAACAGGATACTACTGTGTGTCGTTAATATTTGTATTAGATGAGAGCCTCTCTTACTGCAGTTGTTTAGCTCAAAATCAATGGCGCACACGTTTACCCACATTCACACACGTACGCACAATATTTCTAACATTATATGTGTGTCGACCACTGACACGGAATAGTGAATGCATGTGGAAATTCTGTATAATGATCTATAGACATAACTACCAGGAAAACGGTGTCACGATCTTTGCCTGTTGTCACTAGCATGGTCACCAAGCCGTCATACTCCTAACACGCATATGTACGTTATCAACAGACAGGCAACCACCAAAACATGTTTTCTTTTCAATGTTCTTTATATTATCTCTGTTGAAATGATGAATGGGATCTGTGAAACATTTACAAGCAGGTGTGAAGTTAGGCTATATCTGAACGCCACATTGAAACACAATTCATGTACTTTTTCAATGTTGCTGCATTTCCATACTCCCCAGCACTATGCATAGGATTCTATTGATACAGTTAAACCCACGACATAGTGACAGAGGCGGCGTTTCCTGTACAGCGAACGGGGTGTATAATGAACACACCATGCGTACGACTGCATAATCTCAGCTCATAGCTGAAATTGAAACTTGAATATCAACTAGACAACTACTGATGAAAATATGTAAAGTATATATAGCAAAATGGACATAACAACGTATGGTATGATTTACAACTTCTTTATTTACAACACAACGTTTCTGAGCTAGGTCTTGACCCCTTGGGACTGGTGAATGACAGAATATGATTTACAAACAAAATATATAATGTATCCCACTCAGATAGGATTAAAGATCGCTCGCATGGGAGTCACATGTTAAATAGCAATGTCTAGACTATAGCTAGGTTGAAAACTCCATAAAGTTTTTGTTTAATATTGTAAGGGAATAGTTGACAACGGAACAAGAATCTGTATCGAAACGTCGCACTCTCGAAATAGAAGAAGTTGTAATCCATAAAGTTTCTTTAATATTGTACTTCTCAACTTCTAACATGTCACCCAAAGAAGTCAGACTATAGCTACTTCTATGTAAAGTCTTCAATAGGGACTTAGAAGTGAAACACACATTGGGAGGAATGGCAACTTCATTGTTTTGGCACGTTCCGCAGAACATTCTTGAAGGAGAAAGAATAATATGGCCACTTATATAGTCTTGAACACAATAGCAGGGACATGTTCTAAGCGCATTTAGCATGATGGACACTATTACCCCGGATATACCACGCTGCGAGTAGTCATTTGACTTATCCCACCGGGTACCCATTTTCTGCTAGGTTAACAGAGGCAATTTTGAACAAACTAAGGTGAGGCGCCATGTGTGCTTCGTTGTTGCACAGGACAGAAGTTCTAGAAAGTCTCAGGAGTCAAGCTGCCAAACACGGTCACCCATCCAAGGACTCTCCGTGACAAACGTTGCTCAACTTCAACTGATTTATGACCCGCGCTCAAGCACAAGACCACACACCACCACAATTCACTCCGAAACATCGTGTTCCTTATAACAAAGAAGTTGGCATTCCCTGTACAATTACTTGTACAGTTGTGTATAGATAGTTATAGATGTCATTTATATTTATTGTGATAGCATGCTCTCATTATAACTATTATTTTACCATTTATTGAGTTTGTCGCATCATCATCATACTATATATCTATACTACCACTATCTTAAATGTATAATGTCACAACATCGTGAATATTGTCACATGTGTTTTTATTCAGAGACCACAAAGACATACGAATGCGTCATCGCAGGATCTATTTTCGTGCATCACATGTACAGATGTGGCAGGGTCGAGAGTACAGCCATGTACACATTGCACAGCTCCGTTTCGCCAAGAGGGAAATACACACTGAATTAATGTTGTCCTATATACATAATCAGTAATGTTGAATATCACGAAGTCGAAAGAGAAAGTTAATTAAAATTGCAGAAAAGTTTCAACCCTGGCCATGAACACATTTACATCCTTCTCAGTCTCCACGATTTTCACCAGGATGTGGAAACACTGTTCAGTTGCATGTCCCTTAAATGACATTAAAAACTAGATTCTAATGCTGTCAGAGAGTTGATTAAAATATTATCCGTATTACATCAGCGAGTTCAATCCTTGGAAAGGCTCACATACACATTGAGCGGAAGGTTGAAATATTTCCACCAGACTTGCCTCACACCAATCATGTCGGGCAGGTTAAAGACCGTCAGCATGCCTTTGATAGTAATGCATACATGCAAACATGAGTCGTCTTGAAAATTCCAATTATTGTGATCGACCCATTTGATCCTCTTTGCATGTTCCCTCCCCAATACAAAGAAAAGCTACATGCCACTTGCATGTCAGTTGTAAATCAACTGTACGTCGTCTTTGTAGATCACGACACACTCTCTATTTATAATTTTCCCCGGCAGTAGGGAGAATCAACTGAAGAGAGGTGTCCAGCATAAGGAGATCTTAAGTGAAGGGAGATCAGAACTGTAGGCAAACCTCAACTGCAGGGAGATCAGAACTGTAGGCAAACCTCAACTGCAGGGAGATCAGAACTGTAGGCAAACCTCAACTGCAGGGAGATCAGAACTGTAGGCTAAACCTCAACTGCAGGGAGATCATAACTGTAGGTAAACCTCAACTGCAGGGAGATCATAACTGTAGGTAAACCTCAACTGCAGGGAGATCATAACTGTAGGTAAACCTCAACTGCAGGGAGATCTCAACTGCAGGTAAACCTCAACTGCAGGGAGATCATAACTGTAGGTAAACCCTCAACTGCAGGGAAAGAGATCATAACTGTAGGTAAACCTCAACTGCAGGAGATCATAACTGTAGGTAAACCTCAACTGCAGGAGATCATAACTGTAGGTAAACCTCAACTGCAACTGCAGGAGATCATAACTGTAGGAGATCATGCAGGGAGATCATAACTGTAGGTAAACCTCAACTGCAGGGAGATCATAACTGTAGGATAAACCTCAACTGCAGGGAGATCTCAACTACAGGGAGATCATAACTGTAGGTAAACCTTAACTGCAGGGAGATCATAACTGTAGGTAAACCTCAACTGCAAGGAGATCATAACTGTAGGTAAACCTCAACTGCAGGGAGAACTCAACTGCAGGAAGACCATAACTGTAGGTAAACCTCAACTGCAGGGAGATCTCAACTTCAAGGAGATCATAACTGCAGGGAGATGATAACTGTAGGTAAACCTCAACTGCAGGGATATCTCAACTGCAGGGAGATCATAACTGTAGGTAAACCTCAACTGCAGGGAGATCATAACTGTAGGTAAACCTCAACTGCAGGGAGATCATAACTGTAGGTAAACCTCAGCTGCAGGGAGATCTCAACTGCAGGTAGGTATAACTGCAGGGAGATCATAATTGTAGGTAAACCTCAACTGCAGGGAGATCACAAGAGATGTCAGCCTCAAAAGGGAGATCTAAACTGCAGGGAGATCATAACTGTAGGGAAATCTCAACTGCAGGGAGATCATAACTGTAGGTAAACCTCAACTGCAGGGAGATCATAACTGTAGGTAGATCAACTGCAGGGAGATCTGTAGGGAGATCACAACTGTAGGGAGATCTCAACTGCAGGGAGAACTCATAACTGTAGGTAAACCTCAACTGCAGGGAGATCATAACTGCAAGGAGATCATAACTGTAGGTAAACCTCAACTGCAGGGAGATCTCAACTGCAGGGAGATGATAACTGTAGGCAAACCTTAACTGCAGGGAGATCATAACTGTAGGATATCAAAACTGCAGGGAGATCATAACTGTAGGTAAACCTCAACTGCAGGGATATCTCAAATGCAGGGAGATCATAACTGTAGGTAAACTTTAACTGAAGGGAGATCATAACTGTAGGTAAACCTCAACTGCAGGGAGATCATAACTGTAGGGAAACCTAAACTGCAGGGACATCTCAACTACAGGAGATCATAACTGTAGATAAACTCAACTGCAGGTAGATCATAATTGTAGGTAAACCTCAACTGCAGGGAGATCATAATTGTAGGTAGATCACAACTATAGGGAGATGTCAGCCGTAAGGAGATCTCAACTGCTGGGAGATAACAACTTAAGGGAGATCTCAACTGCAGGGAGATCACAACTGTAGAGAGACCTCAGCTGTAGAGAGATCATACCTGTAGGGAGATCTCTGCTGTGGGGAGATCACAACTGAAGGGAGACTTCAGCTGTATGGAGATCTCAAGTGTAGGGAAATCAGAACTTTAGGTAGATCTCGACTGTAGGCAGACCTCACCTGAAGGGAGATAACAATTGTTAGTAGACCTCATCTATATATCATCAGTTGACACAATCCACAGTCCACTGTACGTCACATACGTCCATCCGTTCTGGAGAGTGATAGGTCGAGTACACTTTGATTTGTCACCATAGATTGACAGCAGCACGTTTCTGTTTTTGTGACAGTGATAGAGTGATCAAGGTTTAGCATTGCATGCCGAATGTTCTGTACAAATACTTTATTAGCACTCAGTGAAACACTGACAAAAAATATTGCGTGATATGTCCTATAAAACTATTGAAAGGTCTTCTTTGTTAAATAGCAACTGACAAAATCCCATAGAGCAAAATTTCTATGGACAAAATCCCACACCAAAATGACCAACATAGGACAAAATTCCATTTTTATATGTTATATAGAGCTACCCTTTTACACCAGTTTTAATTAGCATGTTTTCATGACAGAAGCCAGTGAGATAAGTTGATTACCATGTTTTCGTAACAGAGGCCAGTGATTGCATTGATAAATCGTATAAATGTGTCTGTGATGAAAGGGGTCTGTTACAAAATGGGAGTACTGTAGAGCAATAAGGGAAGAGTCACAGTGGCATTAGATGTTTTTTTGTACATTAAGAAGGTTACAAACAAGATTAGTATTAGGTGGGAATGTTCAAGAAAAATTGCATTAGAATGTCATGGGTCCATGAAGACATCGTCGACAATGGAGAATCCGGTTCTTGTTACATCTCATAGTCATCCAGTCATACATCAGTTAAGATGTACAAAGATGCTGATGTTCTAGAACAATGCTTTAGATGATTACATGTACCATGAAAATATACCACGATGATGTATTATGTTATGGGTCTGCGTTGAATCGTGTTATTACTGTTTGTGAGCAATACTGCTTATTTATGAGGAAAAATAGAAATATTTATTTCAAAATAAATTGTATGTCATTTTTCACACTGTTGGTATTTTATCAGCAGTGTAAAGACATTTTGTCCTATGGGTGGGTGTTTGTCTTGGTGGTATTTTGTCCTGGAGGGAGTTTGTCTGGGTGGTATTTTGTCCTGGTGGTATTTTGTCCTACCCTCAATTTGGTAAACATTGTATTTCTTACTTCATTGGCATTCTTGAAGTTGAGGAGGTGAAGATTGAGGAAGATTTTTATGGATATACAACTCCTTTATTCTGTATAGGCGGTGTTTCGACATAGATTCTAATGTCGTTGTCAAGTCACCTCTTGCTTGACAACGACATTAGAATCTATGTCAAAACGTCGCCTGTACAGAAAAATATGTCCTCATTCAACATTGTATTTGTCCATAAACTGGACCCCCATATGAAATAATTGGAAACAGCAAGTTATGCCACCCCAATACGTGAGAATTACTTTGTATGAGGCTGACAGCACTCCCAGCTGAATTAGTTAGCGTAGCCCGAGCAGGAAGTTAAACATAAAAATGGCAGAGCAGGTTATGCAGTGATTTGAATGATTTGGCGACACTGCGAGCTTGTCAATTGCTCGATACGTGAGCATCCCCTCTCCTTCCCATGTCCCGTATAGCTTAGCATAAATAAATCATTGCTGTGGACCTCATTCCTAGGGAAAGAAGTATTAAGCAGGAAATATAATAAACATGGTCATGAATACACATTACAAAAATCAATTAAATCAAAAGTATGCATTCTGTGATTTTTAAAATCAGATTCTATCATCAGCTTCTCAGAAACGTCTTATGACTTTCTGACAGCCAAGAGACTTGAAACTCCCTAGCAAAATAAGTGACTTACAGATAATTTATCCCAGTGGCACACAAACAAACCCCCGATAATAAAAGTATAACTAACAGGATTTCAAATCGACAACACGTTTTAATTCAATCAGTGTAACAAACATACATTGTCAGAAAGCAACCCAGCGGGATCACATTAGAAATGTGTATGAGTAGGGGTTAAGAGTTGCGTTCAGACAGAACATCCGGATGTGTATACTATATAGAACAAACTGTATGTATAACGACTTCATTATTTCGTGAGTGGGACGTTTCGATACAGATTTTTGTATCCTGCTTGGCAACGGTACAAGACTGTGTATCGAAAAGTCGCACTCCCGACATAAAGAAGTTGTTATCTATAAACTTTGTTCAATATTCTACGTCTAAACTTCTAAAATGCCACTTAAAAACGATGTGTATACTGTTGTCACTCTGACGATCTACACAGACAGTCCTGACTAGAGCTGAGTGTGTCAAGTGGTCAATACAACACTGTATACACCGACAGTCCTGACTAACACTGTAATGTGGTCAATATAACACTGTATACACCGACAGTCCTGACTAGAGCTGAGTGTGTCAAGTGGTCAATATAACACTGTATACACTGACAGTCCTGACTAGAGCTGAGTGTGTCATGTGGTCAATATAACACTGTATACACTGACAGTCCTGACTAGAGCTGAGTGTGTCAAGTGGTCAATATAACACTGTATACACTGACAGTCCTGACTACAGCTGAGTGTGTCAAGTGGTCAATATAACACTGTATACACTGACAGTCCTGACTAGAGCTGAGTGTGTCAAGTGGTCAATATAACACTGTATACACTGACAGTCCTGACTAGAGCTGAGTGTGTAATGTGGTCAATATAACAGTGTATACTGGACAGTCCTGACTAGAGCTGAGTGTGTAATGTGGTCAATATAACACTGTATACACTGACAGTCCTGACTAGAGCTGAGTGTGTCATGTGGTCAATATAACACTGTATACACTGACAGTCCTGACTAGAGCTGAGTGTGTCTGGTCAATATAACACTGTATACACTGACAGTCCTGACTAGAGCTGAGTGTGTCAAGTGGTCAATATAACACTGTATACACTGACAGTCCTGACTAGAGCTGAGTGTGTCATGTGGTCAATATAACACTGTATACACTGACAGTCCTGACTAGAGCTGAGTGTGTCAAGTGGTCAATATAACACTGTATACACTGACAGTCCTGACTAGAGCTGAGTGTGTCAAGGTGGTCACTGTATACACTGTAGTCCTGACACTGACAGTCCTGACTAGAACTGAGTGTGTCAAGTGGTCAATATAACACTGTATACACTGACAGTCCTGACTAGAGCTGAGTGTGTCCAGTGGTCAATATAACACTATACACTGACAGTCCTGACTGAGTGTGTCCAGTGTATAACACTGTATACACTGACAGTCCTGACTAGAGCTGAGTGTGTCCAGTGGTCAATATAACACTGTATACACTGACAGTCCTGACTAGAGCTGAGTGTGTAATGTGGTCAATATAACACTGTATACACTGACAGTCCTGACTAGAGCTGAGTAACAATATAACTGTATACACTGACAGTCCTGACTAGAGCTGAGTGTGTCAAGTGGTCAATATAACACTGTATACCTGACTAGAGCTGAGTGTGTCAAGTGGTCAATTTAACACTGTATAAACTGACAGACCTGACTAGAGCTGAGAGTGTCAAGTGGACAATATAACACTGTATACACTGACAGTCCTGACTAGAGCTGAGTGTGTCAAGTGGTCAATATAACACTGTATACACTGACAGTCCTGACTAGAGCTGAGTGTGTCAAGTGGTCAATATAACACTGTATACACTGACAGTCCTGACTAGAGCTGAGTGTGTCAAGTGGTCAATATAACACTGTATACACTGACAGTCCTGACTAGAGCTGAGTGTGTCAAGTGGTCAATATAACACTGTATACAGCCCTGACTAGAGACCTGTACTAGAGCTGAGTGTGTCAAGTGGTCAATTTAACACTGTCACAGACCTGATAAGCTGACTGTATACAATATAACACTGTATACAGACAGCCCTGACTAGAGCTGAGTGTGTCAAGTGGTCAATATAACACTGTATACACTGACAGTGTGTCCTGGTCACTAGAGCTGAGACAGACCTGAGTGTGTCAAGTGGTCAATATAACACTGTATACACTGACAGTCCTGACTAGAGCTGAGTGTGTCAAGTGGTCAATATAACACTGTATACACTGACAGTCCTGACTAGAGCTGAGTGTGTCCAGTGGTCAATATAACACTGTATACACAGACAGACCTGACTAGAGCTGAGTGTGTCAATTGGTCAATATAACACTGTATACACTGACAGTCCTGACTAGAGCTGAGTGTGTTGTGTGGTCAATATAACACTGTGTACACTGACAGTCCTGCATAGAGCTGAGTGTGTCATGTGGTCAATGTAACACTGTATACACTGACAGTCCTGACTAGAGCTGAGTGTGTCAAGTGGTCATCTGACCAGTTTCTAAAATGGCATTGTGTATTTCATTATTCAGTCTCCTCCGAATTTCAATCCAAAGATGTTCAATTGGGTTTAAATCAGGACTAACAGCTATCCACTGCATAATATTGACACCATTCTGCTGAAGGAAGTCCCGTGTAGCTCTTGACACCGGACATGTGGTCGGACACATGGAACCTGCATCAGAGGATGTAATGATACCGACCAGACATGCACATCTAACTGTACTAAAGACTGTCCTTTGGAGGTCTGCCTTCAAGTGAGAACATGTTCAGGTAAGACACTGAAGTGCAAAATCAACAATTCGTACACATCCATAATCTTCAGTTTCAGTTCCTTTAAATGGGACGAGATTTCAGTGATAGTACATTCAAGTTTATTGAGTAATTTGTAAAAGTAGACAGTTTATTTGATTTGCGTCTTCCTATACTAAGTATAATGAAGGTTTTTGTGTGCATATTACACATTTATTCACAGTACATTAGATTAAGTTATCGTTATTTTGTATTTCCTCAGAGATCCAAAGTGTGAGGCCTACACTGATCGCAATCACCATCGGGGCATTAGCAGCGTGTTTGCTTTGCTTAATTGGCATCATGGTAGCAATTCGTATAACTGTCTACAAACACTTTATAAGGTTTGACATTATGTTTATCAGTGTCTATGTTGCTTAACCTATATTCTAAATGACACATTCACCTTATAGCTTCCATGGCCTTGAACACAGAATATGTAGTTAGCTTCAGCTATGTTATTATAACAAATAATAAATCCATTTGTATAGAGCCTATATCCAGTCACCAAGTGGTTGCTAATGACGCTGACATACATATTAACAAAAGGAGTTCATTTAGGTACCATAAGCTTCTTGAACAGGAAAGTTGTTTAGATTAGACTGGAAGCTGGTTATTGAGGGAGATTCTTTGAGATTGTTTCTGAGGATAGCTGACATATAGGTAAAAGGTATGTGTCCGTATCTCTTCAGTCGTGGGACGGTGAGCCGCGAGTATGAACTCTGACAAGACTAGAGAGAAAGGACGCAGCAGAAGTCAATGTAAAACAACAAGAAAGATCTGTTTCATGATTAGCAATTTTATAAATAACACAATACAGATTACTGCAATGTAATTACAATGGTAGTGCACAGTGGAAGTACAAAGCTCATTGCAGTACTAATACCATGGTAATACCGAATATAGCCGTAGTAGCAGTGACGTCAGAGATAATAACACCGACCAAATTGCAATATTTGCCAAGCTTTCAAACAGTCCTAGAATGGATATCCGTTGAAAAGATGATCAACTGTTGAGCTTGCTGTAATGTGAGATGAGGGAACCATGTGTTCCACGCCATGTTTAGTAAACTATACAGCTCTAAAATATTCATCATTACACTTAACTGTAAAACAGCAAATTGTAGGAAGCCACTGCTTCCGTAATGTAATATATATCGACTTATTATTGGTAAACCACAATGTTGTGAACTTCGACTGTATTTGAAAAGAAACAAAGTCTTACAGTTACACTGTTTTGCAGTAGATTGCCAGTTTTGTGCTTCCAATGTTGACAAACACACATATGGTTTCTGCTGTAGGGATGAAGCTGATGATGGAGATGTGGAATGTCCAGCAGAACAGCAGGAGGCACACGACTACGAGCTTGTGGATGTTGAGCCTGATAGAAACGAATCCGGCCCTGTGATAGTTTTTCTTTAGTGGATGTTCACGTCAGTCAATGCAATACACTGACTGGCCAAACTGACCTCCAGCAAAACATCGATGTCCTGCCATGGCTAGCGCCCAGTCCAGACTTTACCCACTGAACACTTCTGCAGTCATTACGTTAAGATGGCATTGGTAGACACATTAAAGGCATAGCCGCAAAGACTCACTGCATGTCTGACCAATAAATATGTTTTTCCCTGATATTAGCGATGTCGGACTCTTTAATGGCCTAGTCGACCATCATTTCACAAAACCAAGGATAAGAACTCACAAAATCCCATCGCCTAGGCCCACGGAGATATGATTACATAATTTCCATTTGTATATACCATGAGGATCGTTGATAATTCCCTTCATCTCCAATTTCTTGTCATAGTATAGCCAGGACACTAAAGTAATTATTTTATTGTATTATCTAATACATATCTTTATCTATTGCCTTGCTTTTTCCTGCAAATGGGAAACAAAAACTTTGACCAAGTGTTTTTTACAAGCTGACGAAAGCTTTAATCACAGTCGAAATCCTGGTGCCTCCAGCTTGTTTCTTAGTAAGACATTTAGTGAAAGATGAGAGCGAGCGCACACCAAACAGACCAAGAGGTTCACTCTTCTGTACAGACCCCTGTTCCCCGCAATCACCATTATGCTTTATCATTGGTCGGTAACCTTTCTCCCGCTTTTTCGTAAGATTTCGTTGCTGACATACTCGACAAGATAGTGGAGTCTACTAATGCCTACAGGGAGTAACGCCTACAGTCTTAAATAAACAATTTTACGTACCAGTGGTTACAAATTGTACTGCCTCTACCCTTTCACTGAAGTGGTAGGTCCCACTTTACTGTGCACTAATGCCTACAGGGAATACCAAAACATTGACTTTTAAATGACATTTTATAAGATTTAACCAGATAATCATTTTCATTTCTTCACACAAAATGACATTACATTACATATCATTGAATTATTAAATGAGATTACATTACATTACATTCTAAATCATATATTACATCATTAATCAACATGAATTATTTACATATACACAAATATACAAACATACAAATATAAATTTCTGGTGATAACTGAAGTCATTCAAGCTGTCTGAGTCATTCACGCCAACTTGATCAAATGTCCAGCAGCTGAACGCCATGGGGTACATGATTCCAGTTGTCAGTTGGTCCTTCAGTCTTGTGAGTCTCTGGTCAATCTCTATCTAGATCTCAGGAGTAGAACGTGCCGTCCATGTAGAGGGTGTCAACTTCTTGTAGGAGGGTCAGGTGGGCACTTGTGGCGAAGCAGATGATTTTGTCGTCGTCCCCGTCGTCTATGCAAAGGAAGGGCAGTCCATCAGAAGTTTCCTTGAAGCAGTCTGGTAGATTCACCTCGCTGAGTGTCTGGGGAAGTGGCAGCATCGTCTTTCGTCTCTGCTTGTAGAGTCCACTCATCACTGTATAGAAGGACTTGACTGTCGCTGTTTCATCTCGGTCCAGTCTTGAAATCTCCTCGTCGTAGATGGTCGGTACCGGCGTTGTCTCAGTCTGTACCTGTCACCGCAGAGCACTGGCAATCTTCAGAGCTGCTTGATCTTCCTGTGGATGGTTGTGTGGGGACTGATTTCGAACAAACTGTCCAACTGTAGTGCACCTACCAAGGCAGCCTCCATGAACACACTTCCAATCTACGCAGGTCTGTCGTCAGTTGTTCAGTCTGTATCTGTAGCCATCTAGTAGTATCCGCTGTCCTCCTTTCTGTGATCTGAAATACTCGACTTTCTTTGGGTTGGCCATGGTTAGCAAAGAAGACTTTGATTACAAGCATTTTAAAGCAATACATTTCCTTCTCAATAAGAAAACTATCTCTCAATAAATTAAACATTTCCTTCTCACTTTGTTTTATCCCTCATTATATGTTTCTATCCCTCAACCGTGTGAGATGGAGCATAGCCTCTGCTAATTGCTCTTTGCCCTCTACTCCCCTAGTCCCATTGTAGGCATTAGTACACACTAACCGTTACAATCCACTTTTGTGCAGGTAGGCGTATCGCTGTCACAACAAACTTTGTAGCTATTATTCCCTTTAGCTATTTGTCCCTGTAGGGATTAGTAGACCAAACCAACAAGATTGCTGTACCAAATGTTGATCACCATCCTCTGAACACAGGGTCAGTCTTCATAGACGACACTGCTGGGCCACATCGTGCACGCGCCGTTGGTGATTTCTTACGTGAAGAGGCGTTAGCATATCTACCTTGGCCCACGAGGAGTCTTGTTCTCAATCAGGTAGAGCGTGCTTCGGATATTATTGGTCGCAGAATACGCCAGAGAGATTCTCCAGTAGAAAATCGTGGTGAACCGAAGCAAGGAATCCATCAAGAAATGAAAGCAACACCTCAATGTCAGATTCAGCGTGTGATGCAGCCTATGAGAAGGAGGGCCAGGGATGTTATTGTAGCTGGTGGAGATTACACCAGATATTGACACAGCTCGGGTATTGACACTTATGTGAATTATTGAGTATTGTGTGCCTGAATGTAATAGTTATCAGCAATACAAAATTATTTTTGTTTTCCATGTTTGCTTCTCTGAATAAAACGCAATTAAAATTTTTGCGTTTAGATTTGGCATTAAATTGTTCGTATTGAGTGTTGGTTAAATTTTTTGCTTTTGCCTATTTTCTGTCATAATTAACTTATGTCTGACCTGTGTATGTTCGATTGTGTTATTCATTGACTTCAGCATGTTGTGAATTTTGCGCGTGCCGCTACATATGTTTTACCATAGATGTGAACTAATTGTTACAAATCTTGACCAGGTATTATGACTACGTCATACACGTTTATGAATGATTCGGTTGTGGTGTACCAGGTCCATTTGTCACAATTTGTTCACAAGAATAGAAAAACGAACCAAAAACATTCGGAACAAACTCCGGATCCCTACGTCACTTTAGGGCGCGCGTGTTTGTGTGTATAGGTGAAATTGGGTTTAACGTCGTACTTGAGAATATTTCAATCATACGACGACGTGCATTCGTCTGTATGTGTATGTGCGGCTGCTTGTACTAGCCCAGGTGAGGTGAAATTGGGTTTAACGTCGTGCTTGAGAATATTTCGCTCATATGACGACGTGCATGCGTGTGTATGTGTATGTGCGGCTGCTTGTACTAGACCAAACTTAAGCTGGTTTTATAGTGCTAGCCCACTGAGATACCAGGCCGCAGTGAAGCATGAATACCCCACTCAGACACATTATACTGACTCCAAGGCGACCAGTCCTTGTTGTACCCATTAATGCCGAGCGCCACGCAAGGACCAACAAGTACCATATTTTAATGTCTTTTTGTATGACGCGGTCGGGTATCGAACCTTCCGCTCTCCGGGCGGACGCTCTAACCACTACACCACGGAGGCGGTCTTGTTTGTGTGCGTCTCTGCGTGAATGAGTGAGTGAGTGCGTGCGTGCGTGAATGAGTGAGTGAGTGAGTGAGTGAGTGAATGAGTGTGTGTGTGTTTGTGTGTGTGTGTTTGGTGAGTGTGCGTGTGTGTGTTATATCATAGACATGAAATTGGAATATTCAGATGGATAATTTGTATGAAGCTAGAATATTTATATCTATGTAATTAAGAGGGAAAAGAATCCAAAATATACCAAGATTTGATAATACCATAAAAAAGGTATGCCTCGGTGGTGTGTTTGATTGTTGTTCAACGCCGCACTTAGTAATATTCCAGCTGTATGGCGGCGGTTTGTAAATAATTGAGTTTGGACCAGGCAGTCAAGTGATCAACATCAGGAACTTCGATCATTGGGATACGATAACATGTGTCCCGATCCCGTTAGTCGCCGCTTACAACAAACATGGGTTACTGAAGACCAAGTCTGAACCAGTTCTTGGGGCGTGCATTCACTCTATGACGGGTACACGTGCACGTGATGCTCGTCATTGATCGTAATACTTTCATATTGAAATTTAAGGTATGGTATACCCGAATGGTCCAAGTATTCATACAAAAATACATGATTATGATATGAATATATATAAGGCTAAATATTATTGGTGTTGCGATACTTATGTTTATGTGTATATATCACTAATCCCTCTGCCTTACATGCCACGGAAATACAGTGGAAATACCACACAAGCTATTGAGTAAATTATGTAAAATTATGAAAGTTATAAAAGACCACCAGGGTTGAAGGGTGTGTTGCCAAGGGGAACGGTAACCGACCAATGGTAAATACAGCTGGCGATTGGGATGACGTAGGAGCATAAAAAAGTGTTCGGAACGAAACGAGATAAAAATGTGGCCTGCAATACTTCAAAACAATCTGTTCAAAATCAGACAAAGAAAGTGAAAACATAGACTTTCAACCTGTTATCACGTATACGTGTGACGGGTACAACTAACTAGGGGCGGTGGGGTAGCCTAGTGGTTAAAGCGTTGGCTCGTCACGCCGAACTATAGGCATGGATGCGCCGCCGCCTCACACTCACAATTTGAACCAGGTAAAATCTTACAATAAGAGCTCTTTAATCGAATATTGATGTATTC